TCAATTTCCCCTCCTCTAAAAGGTTGGGGAGGGAAGAGGCTTTGAGCTGAGCCCAGCGAGGGTGGGTGGGAACTCCTCACCTGCGGGCTGGGGAGCACCAGGCACGGACACGGGTTCTGGCCCCAGGGCCATGCAGTACCCACAGGCTCTGGTTTCAGCCGCGCCGGGGCAGAGCTCGGGTGCCCCCCCGGGCAGTCACACTGGCGCAAACGGAGCCGAGACCAGACTCAGTATCTCCAGCAGGAAAAAGACAGGAGATTTTTTTCCTCTGCTCGCTTGGGGAGAGTGGGATAAGGGAGGTGGGGTGGGTGGGTAGGTGGGTGGGGGAGCTCCACTCTGTATAACCCCCCCCACCCCTATATATCCCCCTAGGCTGCTCCCCAGGGCATTGCACTGGGTCCCTTGCACCCTCCCCAGGCATTCCAGGTGGGGTGTATGTGGGGGGGTCCCAGTTTCCTTCCACATCCCTGCGTGCCCCCCCCCCTCCCCAAGCTCCCGAGCGGAATGGGAGCGGAGCAGGGCCTGGGATGGCTCCTCCACCCTCCCCGTGCCCTTCAGCCTCACCTCGTCCCCATCCTCGCTCTCCTCCTCGCTGCTGGACTCTGAGGAGTCACCCCCTTCCTCCGACGAGTCACCGTTGTCATCGTCGTCATCCTCGTCTTCATCGTCGTCTTCCTCCTCCTCTTCCTCCTCGTCATCATCCTCTGACTCCTGCAGGGCAGGAGGGGGTTGGACACCAGCCCCCACGGGTGCATCACCCCATCCATGATCACCCTTTGGGGTCCTTCATCCACCCAGCTGGCTCCTGCCCCACAACCTCCCCTGGAGGGGGGGGCCCTTCCCCATTTATCCCACAAACAGGCCCAAAAAATCTCCCAGGGGGAAGTGCAAGAGGATGGCGTGGGGGGCAAAAACCAGACCTGGGTGGGTTTCAAGCACAGATTTTGGGAGCAGGGGGTGTTTGGTTTATTGTCTCAAGGCAAGAACAGGTGGCAGAAAGCCTTGAACCAGAGCTCTGTGTCTCCCCCAAAAGCCCCCCCCGTGGGGTTCCCCAATGTGGGGCACAACCCTGGTGCACTCACCGACTTGGACTGCATCGTTGGCTTCATCTTGGGGTTGGGACCCCGGATCTTCCCTATGCTCTTGCGTTTCTGGGGGACACACACACAAAGCAGAACCATTCAGAGCTGCAAGGGTCCAGCCTGGCTCCTTCCCAGTGTCCAGCTTGGAGAAAAAACCCCCACCAAGCTGTGACAGGGATGAATCCCTCTGAGGGGCTCTCCTGAGCCTGGCTCACCCACCCCAGGGCTTGAGCTCCCCCTGGACTGATCCCAGTCCCAAGCCCCCCCAGATCCCCTCCAAACAGCAGTTCCAGGTGGATACTCACATTGGATGTGTGTTCCTTGTAGGCAGCTCGTTCCTGGGGAGAGAGGCTCTGTGGAGACAGGGGAGGCAGTCAGGGAGGACATGGAGGAGGGAAGGACTCCAGACCTAACACGCCCTCCCCACATAGAAGGCCCTTTAGCTTACAAAAATCATGGAATGACAGAATGGTTTGAGTTGGAAGAGACCTTAAAGACCATCCAATTCCAACCCCAGGGACACCTCCCACCAGCCCAGGCTGCTCCAAGCCCCACCCAACCTGCCCTTCAACACTGCCAGGGATGGGGCAGCCACAGCTTCCCTGGGCAACCTGGGCCAGGCTCTCACCACCCTCACAGCAAAGAATTTCCTCCTAATCATGGAATGGTTTGAGTTGGAAGGGACCTTAAGGACCATCCCATTCCAACCCCAGGGACACCTCCCACCAGCCCAGGTTGCTCCAAGCCCCATCCACCCTGCCCTTCAACACTGCCAGGGATGGGACAGCCACAGCTTCCCTAACCTCTCCCAGCGTTGCCAAATGCCAAAAAAAAAAAAAAGGGGTCTGGAGATGCTGGTTCCCAGTTGAAGGCTGTGAGCAGAGACCACTCCCAAGAACAACCGATCCCCTCGGCAGGCTTGGGTGCTCACCTTGAGCCAGATGTCGAGGTGCACCTTGTACTGTTTCTGCTGCTCCTCTGCCAGTTTTTTGTAGTGGTCCTTCTGGCCCTGGGAGATGCGCTGCCAGCGGCTGCCGATCTCCACCATCCGCTCCTTCAGGGGCAGGTGGTTCAGCTCCCCGTTGGACAGCAGCTCCTGGGAGAACTTCTGGTAACCGTTCCTGCCAGGGGAGGGAGCACAGAGCCTGGATCAGTTGCAGCTGAAGGGAGAACTGAGGGGTGGCCATAAGAAGACCCCCTTCTTCATCAGAGAATCATGGAATGGTTTGGGTTGGAAGAGACCATGAAGATCATCCAGTGCCACCCCCTGCATGGGCAGGGACACCTCCCACCAGCCCAGGCTGCTCCAAGCCCCATCCAACCTGCCCTTCAACACTGCCAGGGATGGGGCAGCCACAGCTTCCCTGGGCAACCTGGGCCAGGCTCTCACCACCTTCACACGGAACAATCTCCCCTCTCCCAGTTCCCCCTTGTCCTCTCCCTCCTTGCCCTTGTCCCAAGTCCCTCCCCAGCTTTCCTGGAGCCCCTTCAGGCACTGGAAGGTGCCACAGCTTCCCTGGGCAACCTGTTCCAGTGTCTTACTCCCAGCCCACACTCCCTACATCCCAGGGCTGCTCCAGGCTCCTCTACACCACCCCAGCTCCCCAGCCCCATCCACCTCCTCAGACCCCAGATACTCACATGGGGGGTTTCTTTGGCTCTCCCTGGAACTTCATTTTCTTGGCAGAGTTGGTGGAGCACGGAGGGGCTCGCATCTCACTCAGCTCCCTCTGAGCCAGAGGAGAAAGTGGTGAGGGAGACTGGGACAGTGTCACCACAGGGACAGGGCGAGGGGTGGGAAGGGCCAGGGACTCACCTCGTATCGCTTCTGATCCTCCGCCGCTTTCTTGATCCACATCAGCTTCTCCTTCTTCTCCATGTTGTTCCAAGTGGCCTCCATGGCCTTCAGAGCTTTCCCCCGGTCGTTCTGCAGCACAGATCCCCCACCCCACGTTAGATGCTCCCAAGATGTTGTGGTGTCACCTCCATCTCCACCACAGGTCACCCACTCCCTTTGTCCCCATCCTCCTCCCGTGATCTCGGGCATGAAAACCGGGGAGAAGGTGCAAAGCAATTCCTG